CTCCCCCACCACCAATCAATCAATCAATCAATCAATCAAACCCCTTTTTTTTTTTTTTTTAATTTTGCATCTGCATTTTTTCAAAACACCTCATACTTCTGCAAAAAACATAAATCATTCCTAAAAAAATACAGGTAAACTCACGGACCATATATCTCATGATAAAAAATGACCAAAAAAATTCCTGCTTTCCTTTATATATATTTTTTTAATTTTCTTTTAATCCAATTTCGTTTTTGATTTTTTAAAAATCCTAAACAAAGTCGGATTCAAAAAAAAAAAAAAGGGGTTGTAGGGCTTAAAATTCCCTACAACCCCATATATATATATATACCTATTATTTAATTCAGGAAAATTCGTGTAAAATCGCGTCCGCGGTGCGGACCAGGTAGGCCGCGGATGCGGACCCATTTGGGTCCGCGATCCGAGCTCGACCCCGCGGACGCGTCCGCGGGTGTTTCGTAGCCTGTGTGGCCTTCCCGGAGGGGGTTGAGGGGGTGGATGGGCTGGGGGGGGGGGTCTGGTGTTGCGGGGTACCCCCCCAATTAAAAAAAAAAGAAAGATTTTTTTTTTTTCTTTTTCTTTCGGTCCCGAGTGTTAAAGAAAAAAAAAAAAAAGAAAGATTGATTGATTGATTGATTGGTTGATTGATTGATTGTTTGATCGTAAAATACAAAAACAAAAACGAAAAAAAATAAAAACATTCATGCAAAAAAATGATAGGTTGATTGATTGATTGATTGATTGATATGCTGTGAGGGGGTTGCCTCCCCCCCGCAACTACACACACACACACACACACACACACGCGCGCGCGCGCGCGCGCTCACAAACAAGTGTGGCAATGTATATTTCCATGTTCTAGCGGTAGATTCATTCGATTCTGCTCATCCATTCGATACCACGAAGCCAGCTGCGAGGTTGGAGACTTAYCYGCTCTCTCTCTCTCTCTCACACACACACACACACGCACACACACACACACATAAACAAACAAACAAACAAGCAAGCAAACAAACAAACAAACAAACAAACAAAGAAACAAAAACCAAGTGTGGCATGTTCTGACAGTAGATTCATTCGATTTTGCTTTTTTTTCTCTCTTTTTTTTTATTGCAATTTTTTTCTTAATTAAAAAAAAAATGCTATGGGGCCTCTTGAGACCTCCCCTACCATCAGTGGAGGTCAACCCCCCCACCAGGACCTGGCACGTACGGATGGAGACCGTTCGTATGCCCGTATGGCCGTTCGTACATCCGTACGCACGGGCCGTACATCTGTACGCACGGGCCGTACGGAGACCACATATTATTTGGAAGTCTTTAATTTAATTTAAATTCAATAGATTCCGCGACTGTATTTATTGAATTGATTGTAATTGTATATATAATTGCTTTCTTAGAGGGAATAAGAGAAAGTCCTATCCGTCGTGAGAGCGGGGGCGCGCTCTACCAGGCTCTTCCCTTCCGCCGGTGAGCCAAAATAATGTTATATTTTAATTCTTCCTGGACTCTCGTCAACCTGCTCATGGCTAGATCACCCGGTTTCGGGTCAAATTGATACAACTATCTACAATTTCATTACGCCTACACCTAAGGGTTTAAGCTTGCTGTATCAATTTACTCGCTGACCCATTATGCAAAAGGCACGCCGTTAACCTTTGCAGATCCATCATCCATTGATTGATGATGCATCTTTCAGCCTTCGACTGATTGCTTGCCCAAATGCTTCGATACAATCGAACACCAAWTATTGATGAGTCTTCTGCATAAGAAGATTCAAGATGATAGATTCTTGACTATAGTCCGAAGGCACATATATAAGATCAAGCGGCCTCTTATACGGTCGGTCGCTTTTTACAAAGACGAACACATTGCATTTTACAATGCCTTCAGCCCTCTTCTATCCAATGTGGCCGTACATCATACGGGGGTCTGTTGTCCGCAACCTGCGGCGGTTGCCCTCTCTATCGACGACCCTCTATCGGCAATGCTCTTCAGTCGCATGACAATTTTCTCAAGCTCATGAAGTACCACATTGGATAGAAGAGGGCTGAAGGCATTGTAAAATGCAATGTGTTCGTCTTTGTAAAAAGCGACCGACCACGAACAGCGCGCGGTAACGCAGTTTTTTCCCAAGGAGGCGGCCATCCACGGCTGGGGCAGCGCTTTGGGCTCACTGGCTTTTACTCGGTTGACTTGGCTTGGCCCCCCCTAACTGGTCTGGTTAGGATTTACCTGGAATTTGGGCTCCCATGTCATCTGTTCAGACTCCCCACGGCGCTCTGCTGCGCGCTTTGGGCTCACTGGCTTTTACTCGGTTGACTTGGCTTGGCCCCCCCTAACTGGTCTGGTTAGGATTTACCTGGAATTTGGTCATCGCTCGGAGCCTGGGTACTGCTCCCCTCACCTGTCTCTTATACACATCTAGATGTGTATAAGAGACAGCACACACACACGCGTGCGTGCGCGCGGGGCGCTGCGAAAGAACGAGTGTGGCAGTGTATATTTCCATGTTCTAGTGGTAGTTCTCATTCAATTTTGCTCAGTGACACCCTATCGAAGGAAGTACCATGATGCCAGCCGCTAGGTTGGATACGTACCGGCAGAAAAACGATCATTCGATTGATGGATGGTATTTTCCTGATCAGTAATAGAAGACAAAGGTATATGACATCTGCCACGGCAGAAACGTAGGATGCAGTGTCAATGTGTCATACTCTGTGACAGTGTGTTAAAGTGTGTGACAGTGTGCGACAGTGTGTGAGTGTGCGACAGTGTGTGACAGTGTGTGATATCACGCTACAGTGTTGAAGTGAGCGGCAGTGTGATTTGGAGGATTCTGGCAGATTATTTGGGAAGAGACAATCATGCTGTGTGCAGTCTGCGATGGTCGAAACGTAGGATTTAGGGATAGATTTTGTGTGATGGTGTGTGACACTTTGTGACATTTGTGACACAGTGTGTGTGATACGGTGCTATGGTGTGCTAAAGAGAGCGGCAGTCCTTCGGGACATCGGCTACAATTGGAACGATACACAGAGAGAAGATTAGCATGGCCACGGCGCAAGGATGACACGCATAAATCGAGAAATGGTACAAATTGGAAAAAAGGAAAAAGTGCAGCGGTGTGAAGTTGGAAGTTTGGGGCAGATCATTTGCAAGTCCTCAAGTCTGCTTGACACAGTGCTGTGGATTTGAGCCCCTGTCCCGAAGGACTGCCGCCCTCTTTAGCACACCATAGCTCTTGATGACTGTGAGGGTTACCCTCTGTGATTGTGCAGACAATTGAATTCGCGGGCAGTGTGAGACACCACTGCAGGAACCAGGATTGTGTCACGATGTAGAAGGATGTCTGATGGGATCGGCTCACTGTGACATTGAACCATTCCCATTCCCATTCCCACTTTCCATTCATTGCCACAGTCCCAGTCGCGTTCCCGTTCCGCCCCAAGCGAACTCCCATTCCCACTCTCGAAGGAGAGCAAGCAGGGCAGTCCAGGTGAATGAAAAGCACCAGGCCGTACGATAAGGCTAAATACATAGTTCCCACTCCCATAGGATGGCAAAAAGGGCAAAATTCAGGAAAATATACCTGCCTGTGTGATTGAAATGCACCAGGCCGTACGATAAGGCTAAGTACATAGGGAATGGTCTCGTGTGATGATGTAGAAGCTGGTGGTCTTTACACTGCAGTGCCAGTGTGTGTGTGTGTGTGTGTATGTGTGTGTGTGTGTGTGTGTGTGTGTGTGTGTGTGAG